CAAAATTTAAAAAATGTAATCATATAAAAAATTTGGCCAAGAAAATTGACCATAACCAAAATAGTCCTTGCCAAAGAGTTCTGCTGCGTGCCTCAAATAATTTAATGATGACTGTCGGATGAGAATAATCCACACTGAAAAAGCTCGACTTACACATAACGTTAGCAGAAGAAAACCATTTAGATTAAGATATGATCAAACTAAAGAAAATTTAAAAACTCTTATAAGTGATGCAAACTAGAACCGGTATCGTTATATAATACCCATACACTTTGATACGACATATCCAAAATTCCAGAAACTAAGTCTAATTTTGTCCAACATAGTCCTGATTCATCATATGAATATCAAAAGCAAATATCCCACACCAAAAGTACAAGTAACAACAAATAAAAACTGATAACTTACCATGTTAATGTCAAATCCAAAAATTTCCCAACTCAGAAACGTCCGCACATATGGTGCTCAATCTCATGAGTCGATAGGATCCAAGACTACTTCCGTGTTGAAAATAATCGCACATACTGTGCAAATTCATGAATTCTGTATGGAACAACACTGACGACAGAATCCGGAATTTTTTAAATCCAATTCTGCATGCAGCGTGATCCACAAGCACCCAATTTTAAAAAAACGACCGCACACATTGTGCGGATTCACAACCATGACTGATGAGTAAACGCGATGCACGGAAGTGCTGATTCTGACCCATACTCAGACACCAAAATGCAAGATCCGCCATCAAAACATTTATTTGACTGGGCGCTGAAATTTGTTTTATACGTCAAAACTGCTCAACATTTAATGTTAACATGGATATAAAAACAGAGTGAAAACAAAGTAGAAAACCAATCACTAACCCAAACACCACACATCTTAAGCCCATGTCGACAAGCTCTGCCCCTTCTTCATTGCTTACATCAGAATGGCAGACTGCTTCTATCAAATCTGAGTTGGCGGATGATAGCACTACTAAAGCGTGCGATCTGCAAAATGGAAACACTAATAAATACTGAAGCAAACATAATGAAACGTTAATAATGACTAAACTGAATGCATACAGTAGCGCCAATCTGCAATTAAAGTTGCGATTTCAAACTAAATCGCACTTTGCCTCACAAAATCACCCCTATTTTCAATCCTCACAGCCAGCATAAAACAACCGAACCAACTGAACCAACCACACCATACAGTCCTCAATGAGGAATGCTTGTCCTTGACTCCACCCAGTAATCAAGAAATTAACGCATCACAATATTCTAGCGGTAAGAGGAATGAATCACAATGCAACTTTATATTCCAGAAATTGATGTCAATGAACGGAATAAGTCCAAGTGCAACTGTGTTCAATACTGATTGCTTGAGTTGCAGCACCATAAGTAATTGCAAAAAATAACTTCTTAAGACATCTTCTCAAAACTGTATTACACGTATCCATCGTTTACAGTTTTATGATTTATTTCAAACGGTAAATATCCTACATCGAAAACTGCTTCTTCTAAGACTCAAATCAATTACGTAGATTGAAATCAAATACGCAAATACAGTAAATCATAGATACCAGTGCACCATATACATGAAGATACAAAATGAATGTTTCCTGTAAATTAATGCATTACAAAAAATGAACATGACTACACGTGAAGAAAAAGAAAGCTGAAAATCGAATCCACGTACAAGTACCGAAGTGATAATTAAATTTAAAAAAATAACAGATAATGACCTGATATGCAACACTGCACCTCGAATGTCACTGGTAAGCAATGAAAGTGATGAGATCTAGTCTTCCACAAATTTAGGTAATTGCTGAAGTGAACGAATGAAAAAGACTGCTTTGATGATTGTTATCCTTGTAACTGGATATCAGTAGTTGTTATCAGTGCGATAGTACTCGTTACTCAGAAACCGAAATTTGAATAAGTTGCCAGTGATAAGAATAAAGGTAAGGTGTGATGTCTTATTGACAAAAAAGTACTTAGCATCTTTCATCGCTAGAGAAATGAAATAACGACGACAGCAAACATAAAAGTAACAAAGACAATGTACACTGTCCAAAAACTCCACATAATCCATGTTGCTCTGCAAAACCTGAAATATTATTTCAAATACATAATCTAAATCCGTGAAATAAAAAATGATACTCATCCGAATACCTCGAATAGTTACGTCGTAAGAAATCATAATAATAATGAGCGATGTTAATGAAGAAAACAATAATAATTAAATGCACATTTAAAGTGTAAATTATGATATTAATAGTGGTAATACGAATAATGATGAGAAATTGCTAAA